TTCTACACACACACACACACACACACACACACACACACACACACACACACACACACACACAGTGTATATCCTATATACTCTGTGTATTTTGTGTATATACACACTGAATTTAGTCTCATTTTAATTTTCCATCTGAAGAAGGCAGTTTCTAAATCTCAGAGAAACTCCTTTGTATACTAGCCCAATAGCACACTAACATTACTGTACAACTCAATGAGTTACTTTAGTGTACATGAGATATATACCTCAGGGACATACAGTAAAAATCTAAAATTATTTCTGTTAAAGAAATATCTTATTTTTGTAAGTTAGTTAAAAACAGATTACAGAGAAGATTTAACCTGATAATAGCACCTTACATCGATTGATCTGCAAATTTTATTGAATTAAGCCTCCCAGCATTCCTACCATTATTATCTCCATTTCCCAGACATGAAAGGCTGATGCACAAGAAGCTGTGACATGTCCAAGATCTGCACAGGAAGTCTGTGGCAATGTGATGAATGGAATACACATTTCTTGATTTTTCAATCCTGTATTTAGGCCCTAAGACCTTATTCTATGAGAGCATAATTAGCGTGTTGTGAGGGAGGAATACCTTGTGTGGTATCTTAATAGCAGTGACCTGCTGTCCCATTTATGAGTAGTGTTGGCGGGCTAGGAGGGGGAGTTGTGTGCAGTTTTTTCCAAGCAGAGAAGTGGTGGCTGTGACACAAGTTTTATAATGAAGTTGTATAGCTTTCTGCAGTAACGATTCACAACCCAGTGGGTTATAATCTTAAATATGTATAATAAATAATGGTTGGGCAGAGTCAGTGGCTACTATTCTAACATTGTTTTTAATAAGAGATATTTTCAAGATTGGAGGTGGAGACTTGGGAAGGCATTTGTGTGAAAAGGGGTCTCTCTTAAGCTTTGATTGCGATACAGAGGAGAATTAGGGTGGGGGGGAACAGATAATTTTCCTTCTTTGCCATTGAAATGACCTAAAGTAATATACTGATCACATTTTTATAGCATGTACAATTTGGGAACATATTTTATTTACACTTAGGTTATTGGAGGTTGTTTCAAAGAAAATTACACTAACTTTCCTGGGTTCTGTAATATTTATCCAGCAAAAGCCTTTCTTATTACCAAGATTGTGCATAAGAAAAGCAACAGGGTAGAAAGGGAAAAGCTAGGGATACAGGAGGTTTTTTTCCCTTCTATTCTGCTTATTTCTGGCTTACAACCTGTTGTATAAGCAACAGCTACCTTTCTTAGCATTTTCATTTCAAATATGAAGAAGGAAGCCACTCTGGTATTTAGAGCTTATGGTCCTTAAAGCCATGAGGAGCACTGGTGTAGTCTTAAAGATTCAAATATGAGTAAGCTTAATATTTTTTTCAAACTTTGTGTTGGCTTGTAATAAGCTTACAGTATGTGCTGTGTGATAAGACTGGATGATGCTAAAACATGTATTTGAAAAAGAAATACCAAAAGGAGCTTGGGAAAACTTGCTCTAGCTAAAATGTCTGAGAGGTATTATTTTTATTTAAGTTTTGTTGCCCTGATATTTTAGGCTTCACTTCAGCAAACTATTAAAACATGTGCTTAAGTCCATCCCCATTCAGCAAAGCATGTGGCTAAATCTCACAGAAGTAAATGGGATTTAATCATGTGCTTAAAGTTAAGTAAGAGCTTTAATGGATATGGGTGGACTGCTGAATTGGGCCTTTATTTAAAATGGAGTCGTATATAAAAAGAGTAACTTCAACAAATGAAAAGGATGTCTTATAAATATGCTGCTGCTCTCCACAGGAAACAGGCTCTTGTGGAAATGGTAATTTTGCGTAACTGACATCCTTGCTTTAGCATGTTAGTTAGTTGCAATTCACAGTTACAGTTTGAAAGCATAATCCCCCTTCGGCATAAACGTATGTACTTGCTATGATATGGTGAATAAAGGGAGTGTGTTAACTATGTTACTTTGGACTACTTCCTCTCATTAAATGTCTTTACTTATTAATATGCAGATATATAGCAGCACAATAGGAAAATTAGAGCTACCTATGCAAAAGGTTACAGACTAGACATGACACTGAAATGCACTTGTTCAAAGTGTAACTCTCAAATGGCATTTTTTATATTAAACCCAAAGCATAAAACTCAGCAGTTTTTAAAAACACTTTTAGATTTCAAGTGGTACAATAGTTAATTTAAGCAGAAAAAAGGAGAAAAAAATCGCATTATAATTTCTCTAAGTTTTAAAAGCATTTCTCTAAGAGCAAGACTGCTGGCATAAAGTTCCTATAATTAAAACACTCATTAAACATTGTGAAGATACCCCCAGAGCCCTATGTAGAAGATTCTCAACACTTCTAACATAACCAAAATATTTTGCAAAACATCGCTCACTTTGGTTGTGAGTTTTGCATATTAAGGTGATAACACTGCACTCTATAAATATTAAAGTTGTTTGATATTAAAGATACATGCATCAGAATGTGTACGTCAGTATTGTATGTGTTGGGGTTCTTTTACATTTGAGTGAGTTCATTCCTTTTATTTTTATTGTAGTTGTAGTATAGAATTCACATTGTTGTGGGTGTTTTGTCTCTGTTTTTATTTGCCGCCAAAAAGACTTCCTATTGCAATGTTAAATTACAGGAACTGAAGGTGCAGTGTCAGGCACTTGACATTAATTTCTTGTTTTCATCCTTGCAATTTAAGAATGAAGTTGTGCAGATGTTACAAACTCTGAACTGATTATCTTAAAGGTGAAAGTAAAGAAACTCTTTAAAACTAGCATGCATGCTAGCTGAGGTTCAACAAATAATTGTTTTAAATTACGTTACATAGTGGCTAATCTGGCCCCCATTATGTCAACTGCAAATTTTTGGCTTCAATTGGATGAGGATCTTGCCCATTGTATTGGCACGATGAGGTTTCTGTACTGGTAGACTCGATTCACAAATGTCACTAGTAAACAGCACTAGACCTATGCAAACCAGTCATAATGAAACCTTGAAACCAGGTGAAAGTCACCTTTTTTGTTTCAGATCTCAAACTCCCCAATGTATTGTGATCCTAACTTCTACTATACAGTACTTACTGTCTTTGTTTTCTGGAGCCAGCAAAATGAGGGGATTCTGCAAAATGTTTGCCCCAAATCAGCATATTCTGTTGCCAGCTACAGAGGAGCTGGATCTGTCGTGAAAGGAATTTTAATAAGAAACCACCACCATTGAGATTTTTAGAAAACTAATTGAAATCTGATTGTGGAACAGATTAGTTGAAACTAAACTGTTTCGCTGGAATTTTAAGAAATTTGGGGTTTGTGTGACTTTAAAATTCCAAGTGAAACTAGAGGGGTTAGGAAGTAGTGCGAATCTGACTTACTAAAAATAATCAGCAAAATATGTGGGAATGAAATCTGGCAAATTTATTACAACTGTTTTAAAGTCTTGTCTTGCTCTTACTTCCTAAAATTAAAAACTGTATGTGTGAGATACATGAACCTCCTAATAGTGATGAGTTTGATCACTTAATGCAGAAAATCTTGTTTTAATCTGCTGCTCTTTGAATGTGTTGATATATTTAGCAGTAAACTATTCCCCACCTCAGTATGGTATATTATTAAGATGGAGGTCATTAAGATGAATTGTATATTATTGAGATGGAGGGCATTAAGATGAATTGTACCAAGGACTTTTTTTTTTTTTGCTAAACCTACTCCAGGACACCTTTAGCACAGGTATATATATGGTATATTGCAACCTTATTGTAAAATTACACTGCTCTACACAGCCAAAATGCTTCTGAAATAAATGTAGTCAAACTTTACTAATTCTAAGTCACTGAGAACGAAAATGATGCTTAAAATTGTTGATTGGCTCTAGTTTTCAAGATATTCTATTGGGTCAGTATATATGACCCTGGACTTGGGAATGGCGGAGGATAAGTGAGTTATAAAGGGAAGGGATCTCAATTTAAACCAGAAATGACTAAAATACATCTTTGACTGGATCTATGAATAAATCTATGACTGGGTTTGGACAGTACTTGCTTTTTAGGCAAAACAATGAATGATGCAATCTGAAGCTGGTATTGCGTCATACATGATATGAATTGCATCATATTATTCCTAGAGGTCATGGATGATGCAATCATAACGAAGCTTACATCACTCTGCTGAACAAATTGCCCTAGATCAGCTCTAGAAATCATACAGTGTCGTGCTCTCTTATTTGTCAGTGTTTGATTTTGCAAACGGACACATTTCTGTTTAGCCAAAGTGAGCAGAGATGCCTTGTACTTGTGTGAACAGTGCAGATAACTTCTGCTATGTTTGTGGTGAAGTGACTTTTGCATCACAAAAGCGTAGTATAACCACTATGGTTAAGAAAGCCTATCACCTTTATTTTGGCTGCAAAATTGGAGATCAGGACAAGAGGTGGGCCCCACACATATGCTGCAACACTTGTGCAACAAATCTTCGCCAATGGTTGAACAGGAAAAGGAAATCTATGCCTTTTGCAGTGCCAATGATTTGGAGAGAGCCAACAGATCATACCAGGAATTGTTACTTCTGCATGGTGCCTCCAGTTGGGAAAGGGGTGTCAAAGAAGAAAAAGTGGACTGTGCATTATCCAAACATTCCATCAGCTATACGCCCAGTACCCCATGGAGAAGGACTGCTGGTTCCTGATGCACCACAATCCTTCTCACTTGAGTCGGATGAGGATGAAACTTCTGGTCCTGAACCATGTCACAGCCACATTGTCTCCCATCCTCCTCCTCTGAACCACACCTCATAACACAAGGTGAACTGAATGACATTTACAGCGATTTGGAACTACCCAAAAGTATGGCAGAGCTG